CCCGTGCCAGGCGTACCCACCTCCGTGGCTGGGCACTGCCATGCTGTTGGCCAGCTGGTAGAGGCGCTGCTGCTGCTGCTGCTGCTCCTCGAAGGAGCCGTGCTCGTTCAGGGCTGACATCATGCGCCTGTAGTGCTCCTCCGGGGTCATCTGCGCCACCGCCTCCTCCAGCACCGGCGTCTGACACGTCTCTGCGGAGAACACGAGCTTGTTCTTTTTTGTTTTCCCCTCTCTCACGGGGAACTACAGCGAGGAGTCGCATAAAGGCAGGGATATGGCAGAAATAGAGAGAGGAAAGGGGGTGAAGGGACATCGGCGCTCTCTGTTGTCCCCACGGGGTTTGATGGGCCAAGATGTGCCACCAAATGTTGGCCAGGCTACCCGAAACCTTCTAAATCTCCAAATTTGCACGCAGCGAAGTCCACAGCACCCAAAAAACATCACCGATTTTTTTTTTCCTTCCCCCTAGAGCACCAAGCTCTGCAAAAAAATCAGCAGCAAGCCCTGTACCCTCAAAGGGGACAGGGAGGATGGGAGAGCTCATGGAATTCTCAGCCCTTCACCTTCGGGATGGGAGTTCTGTGCTCAGCTCGTACCTGACCAGACAGGAACCTCCTTTCCCACCTTTCCGAGCACTCAGAGGACGGCAGGAAGTGAGAGATGCTCCAGCACCCAGGGGACAGTGGTGACACCCAAGGGACAGGGCTGAACCCACCCAAGGGACAATGCTGACACCCAGGGGACAGTGCTGAACCCATCTAAGGGACAGTGGTGACACACATCCAGGGGACAGTGCTGAACTCACCCAGGGGACATCAGCACACCCAGGGGACAGTGCTGAACTCACCCAGGGGACATCAGCACACCCAAGGGACAGTGCTGACTGGCACCCACCCAGGGGACAGTGCTGACTGGCACCCATCTGCCCAGCCCTCACAGGGACACCTCCGAGCAGGTTCTTTGCCATCTGTGCCCCTGCCCAAGCCCCCTGAGTCCCCCCTGCTGTCCCCTCCTCCCTGTTCCCGGATCGAGGTCCTGCCTGCTCCGGGGGCAGGAGGGATCCCAGCCTGGCAGCCGGCGACAGAAAACCGCAGGGGTTTTGTGTTTACTGTAAGCACAGCTCTCAGTAATTACTGCTCTCCGCCTTGGCTGCTCCAGCACTGCTTTATCTTGGATCTTTCCCACAGGCAAAGCCTTTTCATTACTCGGAGAGGAACTCCCAGGCACAACGTGGGCAGGCTCAGGGGAGGGGGGGCGGCAGGCACGGGACCACCGTGGTGACAGGACCACCCTCCTGTGAGCGCCCCAGGTCCCTGCTGCTCCTTCAGCCTCCTCCTCCTCCTCCTCCTGCTGCTGGCCTGGCACAGCCCCTGGGGCAGCAGGGCTGGCCCCAAAGCCGGGGGGTGGCACTGGGCACACACACGGGCACTGGGAGCGGCTGTGGGGCTGTGGCACAGGGGGGAGGAGGGTCCCATCAGCGAAGGTGAGCGTGGGGCAGGCACGGACAGCCCCACGGACACGGGGGCTGTGCCATGAGGCAGCTCCGGGACTCTGCTGCCTTTGTCCCACACCCAAGCCACGGCTCAGCCCTGCACTCGGGGATTTGGGGGTGCAACTTTCACTGAAAGTTACTGAAACCACCCCCTCCCCAAAATACAGGCGGGAAACATCATCATCATCATCCTCATCTCATCATCATCATCCTCATCATCATCATCCTCCTCATCATCATCATCATCCTCATCTCATCATCATCCTCCTCATCATCATCATCATCCTCCTCATCATCCCAATAATAAAAAAAAAATAATAATAAAATGTAACATAAATAACAATGAATAACGAGTAACGATAATAACAACAATAATGATAGTAATTGCAGTAATCATGATAATTAATAGTCATAATAATGATGGTAATAATAGTAATAATAATGATGATCATCATCATAATAATAATAGAGGCTGAGCTGCACGTTTCAACACCAAAGGCTTGCACGCCGGGCTCCCAAGTGCCAAAGGGAAATGATTTTGGCTCAGCTCAGCCCTCAGGGCTGTCCCTGCAGCTCCGCGTGCCCCAGTGACACAAATCTGCACCCTCTGCCTGCCCGAGCACACCCCAGCATCGGGAGCTGCGTTCCCACGCTGCCCTGGGTCCCCCATCCCCAAATCCCCGAGCCCAAAGGCAGGGGCTGCTCCCTCAATCCCACCTCAAACCTGCAGGACACCCATGCAAGCAACAGGGGACGGAGGAGAGGCCACAATCCCCTTCCAGGTTTCCTTCCCACCAGGATTCCCTCCTCCTCCTCCTCCTCTGCTCCTGCCACCTCCCCCAGGGATGCAGCAGCTCACGGTTTCAGTTCCCTCCTGATGCTCTTACCCAAAGGTCTAAGGAGCAAAGCCACAGACCTGATTTAGAAAAACACCGACCGATTTTTTTTTTTTTTCCCCCCCACAGCTGTGTCATTAGAGCAAAAAAAAAGGGAGGGGGGAGGGGATTTAATAACACTTAATTACCATAAACTCTATCGGATCAGCCGCAGAGCAGATTTCAGGTGCAAGGAGGGGAGGGAGGATGGGGGTGGCGAGGGGAGCCTAAGAGGAAGGAGGAATCCAGGGAAAGGCTGGATTTCCATGCTTAAAACTTGGAAGATTTCACATGACTCAGCCAGCAGTAATTCCAGCTTTGCTGGAGCTTTGCTGTCTGCTTTTGTCATTACCAGGGGTAATGCGGGAGACTGATCTCGCCAAATCTCCTGCAGCCGCCAGGTGTGAAATGGACTCTGGCACAGCCCTGGGGAGGGCAGAGCCAAGCCTGGCATCTGCTGGGCCCTCTGCAGGGTCAGCACACCCCCCTGAGTACCCAACACATCCCCTGAGCACCCAGCACATCCCCTGAGCACCCCCTGAGCACCCAGCACACCCCCCTGAGCACCCAGCACACCCCTCTGAGCACCCAACACATCCCCCTGAGCACCCCCTGAGCACCCAGCACACCCCTCTGAGCACCCAGCACAGCTCTCCCATCTCCCATCCCTCTCCCAGCCTCTGTCACAGCAGAGTTCTGCAGGTTCTGCACAGAGCCAAGGACGTTTCACTGCTCGTGGCCTCTCCACGACATTTCCTCTCATCATCATCATCCTCCTCCTCCTCCTCCCCAGGCAATCCCAGAGCAGACAGGAGCACCCAGCCTGTCCATCCTCCCCTCGTGTCCTACAGCAAACCCATGACAGCCCAAGGTTCCCTTTTTTCAGCCCCAGTCTGAGCTTAAGGACCTGCAGCAAACCCCAAACCCCAAACCCCAGACCCCAGACCAGGCCTTGGGCAGCAGCTTTTGGGGTTTTTCTGCTCTGTGCCCACTCCCCCCAACCCAAGCATGAACCCAGCACCACTGACCCCCATCCACATCCCCAGGTGACCTGAACCCCTCCAGGGCTGGTGACTGCCCCGGGCAGCCTCTTCCAAAGCTTCCCCTCAAGAAATTTTCCCTAATATTGAACCCAAACCTCCCCTGGCAAAACCTGAGGCCGTTTCTTACAGTGGCTTTGGGGGGCAGTGATGCTGTCAGCAACAACGGGGCCAAAACCTCATTTCTTCCATTCTTTGGCCTAAGTGGAAATCTGCCAAAGCCAGCAGCACATGGACATCCCCCAGAGGAAGGGACAGACAGACAGACAGACAGACAGAGGCTGGGTCTGAATTGCTGCATTCAGCTCCAGCTCGGGGCTCCTCCAGAGACACAGCGAGGTTTTGGTTGGGTTTAAAAGGTTCACGGGAAGGAGGAGGCAGCAGGAGCAGCCTGTGAGCTCATCCCCAGCGCAGGGATCATTCCCTACGTGTGTTTTCCAGCGCTCCATCCAGCCTTTCCAATCTCCCCGGGGCTCCCAGCACACCGATCTGTCAGCTGCTCTCCCCGATTTTCCCTTTCCACGTCCCACACCCCAGGGCCGTGGGGAAGGAGCTCTCCAGGCAGGCAGGACTGAGCCTTTCCCCAGGGAATTCCCTCCCCGTGCCCAGCCCTGGCTCCAGGACGCTGCCCCTGCCCAGGAACGTTCTGCTCTGTTGGGACAGCCCCGTTTCCTCCCAGGCAGGGCTCGATTTTGGTCTGCTCTGGGCAGGGGGCAGCGAGGGGAGGAGGCTGCATCCCCCTGCGAGGTTTTCCAGCCCTACAGGTGTTTTTTCACTCAGCCAAGGAGCGGCAGAGATTTCCTTGGCTGCCTCTGCTCCCCTCGCATCGTCAGGAGCGGCCACGGCAGCGGCAGCGCAGCCAGGGGGTCACTGCTCCCCTTCCCAAAAATCCCCTTCCCAAAAATCCCCTCTCCCAAAAATCCCCTCTCCCAAAAATCCCCTCTCCCATTCCAAAAGTTCTTCCAGGGCCAGCCCAGCTGTGCCCCAGCCAGAGCTGCACCCAGGGCCGGTTTGGGATGGAGAGGGGCAGATCCTGGTAGGATCAGTTTGGGATGGAGAGGGGCAGATCCTGGCAGGATCAGTTTGGGATGGAGAGGGGCAGATCCTGGCAGGGATGTTTGGGATGGAGAGGGGCAGATCCTGGCAGGGATGTTTGGGATGGAGAGGGGCAGATCCTGGCAGGATCAGTGTGGGATGGAGAGGGGCAGATCCTGGCAGGATCAGTTTGGGATGGAGAGGGGCAGATCCTGCCTGGATCAGTTTGGGATGGAGAGGGGCAGATCCTGGCAGGATCAGTTTGGGATGGAGAGGCTGCAGCCCATCACCACCCCAGGGCTGCAGGAGGTGCAGCAGCAGCAGCAGCAGCACGAGGCTGCAGGAAAAGGGATCCCAGGAGATGCTGCAGCCCCAGCAGGACACGTGGGGCTGGTGGGATCCTGAATTCCAGCCACTCCTTGCTTCCCTTCCCACTCCCAAATCCCCCACGTGCACTCTGGGTCCCAAAAATCCAAACCCCCCCCACTGCCCAGCAGTTCCCAAATCCCAGGTGAGTATCCCCGAGGGCCCATCCCACCTGGGAGTGCTTTTCCACCGAGGTGGATCCAGAGCTGGGCACACAGGATTGTGTTTTCCCCCCTGGCATCACAGGGATGCTGCTGGAGCCACAGCAGGGTGGCAGCTCCCAGCTCTGTCCCTGCTGGGGGGTCAGGACACAAACCTTGGGGGTGGCCCCTGCTGTCACCCCCTTTCTCCCACCAGGAATCAGCCCCAAAGCACAGAAAGCTCAGCCAATGTTTCCCATTCCAATGGAATTCCAGCCTGGGCTGAAACTCCTGCACAGCTCTGGGGGGGCCACAGGGGCTCCCCAAGGATTTAACAAAAAAAAAACCCAAAAAAACCCAAAAAAACAGTGGGAGATGAGCAAAAGGCTCAGCTCCGAATTTCCATCCTGTCTCTCCTCAAAGTGGGAGGAGAAAATAAAACTTTGCTCCATTCAGGCCTTCCCGGGAACCCCTCTGTTAAAAATGTGAGGGAATCCCTGAAACTTTGGGAGTCAAGGAGCAGGATTTAGATCCTGAACGATTCCTGCAAAGCCAAGGGCTCCTCACCCTGCCCTCAGCCCAAAAAAAGTTGGGAAGGGCAAAGGAAAACAAGGAGATCACTTGACCCTGATGCTTCCATGCCAAAAACATCCACCTGTGCCAGCTCAGGGTGAATCCAAAGGCAATCCCTTGGTTTCAGGTGGCTTGGGTCAAGTTCAGCCCATTCCCAGGCAGGTTCTGCTCCCTGGACTCAGCTCCAAAGCACAAGGTTGGAATTATGAGGGGCACAACCTCAGCAGGGACAGCAAAATAAATATAAACTATAAAAAATAAAATATAAAATATAA